CCCCCCCCCCCCTCCCCCCAAGAAAAACCCACAGTCCAAGGATTCTCTTGTGCTTCGTCCTTCCGGCCTGGAGGATGTACATCCTTCCTGTTGTCCTTGGGCAGCAACGCTTTGCGACAGCTTTCCTCTAGGCATCTAGGAAGATCTTCAGACATCCTACACCCCAAACCCTATCCTTAACCACAAACTCTGACCCCTTTCAGAGGTGACCTGGGCTCCCGTACATCTTCCACCCCACCGAGGGTTTCCCAGATGCCGCACTTAGTTCCGACTCCTCTCGGCCTCTTCCCTGTTTGAGCGCGTCAACACCCAAAACCCTAAACCCCAAAACACTAAAGGCTCAAAGAAGATTAAGACGCCAAAATCCGAACTCTGCAAAGCTCACAGAAACCTGAAACACCCCAACCCTTCCCCCCCTCTTTCCGGATCGCATGGCCACCTTAGCGCTTCCCGAGCCTCCCTCGCTGTTAGTGGGCGTGGGCAGGTTTGTGCTTCGTTCGCATTGCCCTCCTCGACATGTTCGACTGTTACGAAAATCGCACCACCAAACCACCCATCCCTGTGGCTGTTGAACTGTTGAGAGACGTTGCAGTCGCAATGACATCAAGAACCGGAAACAGCAACAGCAGTGATTATTTTGTTGCCTTGGGCCAACTGAGCCGCAAGCGACCCATTCCTGTGTCTGTTGGCATTCTTGAGATGTCGCCCTGCTAGCGAGATCCCAAGCCAGAGGCAGAGGCGAGGAGGGAGGAGGAGGGAGGAGGAGGAGGAGGCGGCGACGAGGATGACAGTGATGACGATGTTGATGATGGTGGTGACGATGATGACATTAAACTCTAGAAAGTCTGGCTGTGGTCACTGTGCCGGGTTTCGTTTCTGGTGTGTGGAGGGTGTAATACGCCATACAAACCCAAGGACCAGAAGCTAGAAGCTCGAAGCCGTTAGAGGCCTAAATCCACAAACCACACAAACTCAAAATCGCCAACACCGAAACCCGACAGTTTCGGTTCCTTGGTTAGGTTGCAAGGTGTAACGGTTGTGCTTCGGCATCAGGTCAAAGCACTTGGGACTTAGGAGTACTCGCATCCCGGTCCTTAGGTGATGTTGGATGAACTCCGGTCCATGACGCTTGGCTGTTTAAGGGTGTCTCGTGTTCAGGCTTGATTCTCCCGGCCGGGCTCAGGATTCAGGACTACTCCGACTCCCAAATCGCAAACCCCGCGCACCCTGCACCCCAAGCCTTTTAAACCGCACGCCCTAGATCCTACCAGGCTTGCCCACTTCAGTCTAAGAGGGTGCGAAGTCGAAGCTTCCAGATTTCTTTTGGTTCATACTTCTTTGGGTGCAAGCTTGTGTTGGGCGCTGTGTAGCACATGTAGGCACCCAGATTAAATTCCTGAACCATGATTTCGTAGGCTTGATCCATTATTGTTCTGAGTCCTTTTATCTTCACCCTCCATCGGCGCAGTCTTTCCGATTTCGTCGCTTTAGGGCATCACTTTTTGTTCACCTACATTTTTTGGGTCATTAGGAGGTTCAGCTGTGGATTTACAATTTGAGGATTTGGGCTTCATGTCGCGGAACTCCCGCAAGAAGTCGGTAAACATCTCACCGTGCTGCACACATCACATCAATGCAAGGACCGATCCTCCCGGGCATACACACGTGCACGGCGAACCAACCCTCATGCCTGCAACCTGCAAGCTCTACAGGCCCTGTGCAAATCCCTGCAGCTTTCCTCTTGGCAGCAGCCAGGAGGAAGAAGAAGGGCCTTTTGCAGTATAACAGATCGGTGACCGGACTCGCGATAGCAGCTCGGCTTGATTGTCCATGTCGTTCTGCACTTATGCCAGGTTTGCAAGCTGCTGCAACCCGGAACAAAATCCTAGATTGCCTGTGGCTTATAGGCGTGGCCAGTTCCTTTCAGCGCCCGTGAATAAACTCGTTGACCACAAACCTATAGTCCCACTTTCCCTGAACCCAACTGACCAGAGAATTCAGTTTTGCTTCAGCACGGTGTGCCGTCCAGGACTTCGGCTTGAAGAGAGGATTTCGGGCTCAGGTATTACACTTGTCTATTTGTCTATCTATCTATCTATCTATCTGTTCATCTTTACGCATACAGCTATCTATGTTGCATATATGTATACGCACATGACCGCGAAGCTACTGACCGAACACCGCATGATGCCCTCTCCAAGCTACCGTGCCCTACAAAGGCCGTGAAACCCCGAACCCCAATCTGTGGCCATTTCGAGGAAGAGCTGATGGATGCCCAAGCCAAGCATGCTTTTCACAAGCCCCTCGTCGAGAAGGGTTCATGTTTATGGTCGCGGGCTCCGAGCACTACAGGTACTGAGATCACGGTTACAGGGGGAAGATGGAGGAAGTTTGGTTGAAGACGAATTAGCAGAAGGAAGAAGGGCAAGAGTGGGCGAATGAAGGCCTGCAGAAGCACAGAGGGAGAAGGGTGCTCCACGTAGAACGTGCGGGGCTTGCCGGCTTAGAGCGCGAGGGTTAACAAGTCGCGGTATGATGCGCCTTTAGCCCTTGCCGCTTGCCGCCTGAACCAGCGTCCCGCCCCTCGTTCTTGAGCTGTTGAGGAGACCAGGCGGCTGGAAGTTGAGGTTTCGACCAGGTGTGTACTGTAGCTATAGAAGTTTGAAAATCAGGTTCAGGGCCGCAGCGAGAGGGGTTTTGGAGTTTAGTGACATGTGCGATCAGGGTTTGCGGTTTGGAGTTTAGGCGTTAGCAGCCGGCATAGTGCCGAACGGGTTCGGTGTTTAGAGTTTTGGTCGGACCCGTTGGTTTGAGGGTGTCGTGCTGTTAAAGTTCATGGACGAGCATGGTTTGTGCTGTTGTCTTGGCACCTACACCCAACCTAAGCCCAACGTCTACAGCTTCAATACACAGCGGCGCTAAATCAGTTTGAAAAACAAACACAGATCGACAATGTGACAAGTACTAAAAGGATGGTTGTGAGTTTTGAGTTCAGCGACTGCACATCTGGGACGCCCGCAAGCTGTGCAGGCTGCTGTCGCCGTTGAGGGCTGAGGTTTCATGGTTCTAAAGTTGGGGCCTTAAGGTTTGAGCTTTAGGAGTCGATGCATCGCCGTGCATCCAGTGGACCCCACCAGGCCCCGCAGCGACCACACATCCTAGGTCCTGTGCGGCTTGTTTATCCCCGCACCAGAAGCCTAAACCATCTGGTAACCTTATAGCCCTTAAACCAAGAGAGCCCTAAGCTCCTAACCCTTGAGACCCAACCCTGAATCCGAAGCCCTGTAGCACTCAGACCTTGAAGCCGAAGGTTGGAGATTTGCTTGGATTCCTCGATCTTCGAGGGTCAGATGGAGGCCCTGTGCAGCTGCATTCTTCGTGAAGTTAAGTAGGGTTTAGGGTTTGGGAGAACAGTGTTGTGGTTGTCGGGTCTAGTGTTTTGGGCTTTAGTAGGATTTTTTCAAAGGCTCAATGTTTCGGGGTTGATGGGCTTTTCAGGAGCTTGTGAGACAGGTTGTGCGCAGGGTTACCTGACTGCACATGCGAGCTGCTTCGAGAGCTTTAGTTGGGGTTGGGCAAA